GTAGAGATGGGGTTTCACCATGTTGACCAGGATGGTCTCTATCTCTTGACCTCGTGATCCACCCGCCTCGGCCTTCCAAAGTGCTGGGATTACAGGCATGAGCCACCGCGCCCGGCTGTATAGTTTTTTAATTGAGATGAGGATCTCACTATGTTGCCATACTGGTCTCGAACTCCTGGGCTCAAGCAATCCTCCTGCCATGACCTCCAAAAGTAATTCAACACATTTTTATCGAGTGTCACAATACATGCCAGGCACTATGCTGAGTGTGGAGGAGGAAGGAATGGATAAGTCCAAATCCAATCCTGGCATCCGTGAGCTCATGCTCCAGTAGAGAAGGCTAAACCAAAGATGATAAAGCCTTGTTATTTCATGCATGATCCTAGGAACCCTGTTAGGAAAAGAACCATGGGAAGAAGGAAACCTTCTGCTCACTTGTCAGCCAAAAAGAGAAGGATAATCCCGGAGCCGAGGAATTCTCCATGACATCTACTTCCATCTTTGTCAGCAGCTTTTGGTTAATCCAGTTCCCCAGGCCTCTTCTCCTCCCCAAGACTTGAAATTAAGTTAAAATGTCAGGTCCTCTCCAGATGATAGAATTTCTTCTCTTCCCAGATCTGTTTTGTTGTGGTCATGAAGAGTGCCCAGCCAAAGATTTGGAAATATCAACTATTCCAATTATGTAAAATGTGATTAGAGAAAGTGTCACGGCCCTTCACACGAGCCTTTCACTTAATTCTTGCCTTGCAACCCTGACTTGGGCTGACAAGCATAATAGATCTACTTGATACATCTTGGGCTAAAATAAAATGTCTAGTCAAAAGTGCTTAGAATCCCTCTAGGCTGGAGCTGCCTAATGATGTCATTACTCCACAGGGCCTGCTGTTATTTTTAGGATGGCCATTTCCTCCCATGTTAAGGCTCATTAGGAGGTTTCTTTTTTCTTTTTTTTTTTTTTTCTGTAGTACTCTACCCAAACAATAGAGGTCACACACAGAGATGAGGCCTGATCTGGGCCTGGGCAGCTTACTTACCCTTTTTGCACAGCTGGGCTCCAAGTAAGGCCATCTGAAGTTGAAGGAAGCTTTTCTTGACTGGTGGGAGATCAAACCAAGGTCAAAGTCTGTCTGGGCCAGGCTTGCCCATATTGCGATGGCCAGGTTTATGTCATCCACCATCAACTCCCACTGACCTCTTATCCCTTTTTACCGCACAACTACTCACCAGTTTAGGACATTTCCAGCCCAGCTCAAATCATGGGGCTAAAATAGCCTAGCAAATGTTCTACCATCCACAAGACAAATTCTTCGACTCCAAGATGAGGCAACCTCTACTATGCAGGAAGAAACATTGATCTATTTTTACCAGCATAGGCTTTGCAATCCGATGCATATAGGTTCAAATCCTAGGTTTACCATTTAAAGGCCGTGTCCTCTGGGGAAAGTTTCTTAATGTCTCTGAGCTTCATTTTCCCCATCACTAAAAGGAAAACAATACTACTAACCTCACAAGACCGTTACAGAACAAGTAAGAAAATAGATGCCAAGCACTTAGAGACCCTGACACCATGAAAACGTTTATTAAATGCAACCGTTGTTATTATTTATCATCATCTCTATTATTACTATAAATCAACAAAATGCGAGTTTGAAATCCAAAAAGCTCTGAATGCTGTAAGATTTTTCATAACTCATTTGGCAGCAAAACCTGACCTGACCTCAATTTCTCTGTAGACTTCATTTATCCCACTTAAGATAAATATTTGTTGTGGAAATCTGAATGCTTTTTGCTCAGAAGTTATTGCCCCAAACTCTGCTGTAGGTCTTACATAATATAAACTAACTGCATCACATTACCTTTTTTTTTTTTTTTGAGAGTCTCGCTCTGTCCCTCAGGCTTGAGTGCAGTGGCGCGATCTTCGCTTACTGCAACCTCCACCTTCGGGGTTCAAGCCATTCTCCTGCCTCAGCCTCCCAAGTAGATGGGATTACAGGTGTTTGCCACAACGGCTGGCTTATTTTTGTATTTTTAGTAGAGACAGGGTTTTGTCGTGTTAGCCAGGCTGTTGTTCTCGAGCTTCTGGCCTCAAGTGTTAGGCCCGCCTCAGCCTCCCAAAGTGCTGGGATGACAGGCATGAGCCACCACGCCTGGTCACATTACTTTTCTAAAATCTGAAAAAATCTGAATTTTTAAAATATCTGGTCTTAAGGGAGTTTGTTAAAGGGTGGTGGTCAGCATTCCTCTTTACGTCAGATGCAGGGCCCAAGCCACTGCTGTTCCTTCCTACCTAGGAAAATAGAAGAAGTGTTCATTCCCTACGGCTGTGAGGCAGTCACCCATCTCCATAACACATCACAAAGATCCCAACCCCCAGGTAGCAAAATTAGCCCCTTTTGCCATTCAGAGATCCAATATCTTACTATACCTAAATGGTTGATTCTTGGCAAATCCGGACAGAAAGCAACAAAAGCAATTCAAGACCGGGTGCTGTGGCTCATGTCTGTAATAGGAGCACTGGGAAGCCAAGGTGGGCAGCTCATCCGAGGTCAAGAGTTGGAGACCAGCCTGGCCAATGTGGTGAAACCCCATCTCTATCAAAAATGCAAAAATTAGACAGGGTGGGTGGCAGGTGCCTGTAATCAATCCCAGGTACTTGAGCAGCTGAGGCAGGAGAATTGCCTGGACCTGGGAGGCAGAGGTTGCAGTAAGCCTAGATTGTGCCACTGCACTCCAGCCTGGGCGACAGAACAAGACTCCATCTCAAATAAATAAATAAGTAAATAAGTAATTTATGGTCTTTCTGAAGATATTATACTCCCAATAAGTAACACTTCTATTTGCTGAGCACCTATCATATGCCATGCCTTTTATACACACCCTGAACCCCATAAAAATAATGAAGAAAGTACTATTATTCCCCACCTTATAGATTTTTGTTTTTTTCAGAGGTGGGGAGGCTGAGAAGGAAAAGTTTCGCTATGTTGCTCAGGCTGGACTCGAACTCCTGGACTCAAGTAATCCTCCTGCCTCAGCTTTCTGAGTAGCTGAGATTACTAGCACAAGCCACCTGACTCAGCCCCACTCTAGAGATTTGTAAACAGGGACAAAGAAATGATGGGAATTCAAATTCCAATCTGATTTCAAAACCACTGCTTTTTTCTCTGTAGCCTTGCTTGCTGACTCTCATAAAACCACAGAGAAAATACAAAAAGGGAAAGCTTATTTAAATGTATTTTAGTCCCACTGCCTATCATATTTGAAGCATATGGTATTATTTCTTTTAAGACCCAGGCCCTACATAGGGATCAATTTGCAAGTCTGGGAAATGGTCACTTTGTTAGGTGCCAAATAGTCTCTAAGTGCTAGTGTTTTCAGAAAATGACAGTGACCTGTATTACTCAGCCCCCTCTCCCTTGAATCCTTCCTCAACCTCTTGCAACTTGACTTGTGGGAGGAGTTTTAGAACTTCTGTGGTGGTGGAGGTAAGTTGTGTTTTGGGGGCATATTTTGCAGCTGTGTGCCTAGTTGGATCGGATGAGATCATCTGAGTATAAAGGTCAGGAAAAGAGATCTGTTCACCTTGGCCTTGAACCCGCTGCTGAATGTTCAGTATTATGCTCCTCCAGCACACAGCATGCTAAGCCAGGCACAAGGCTCTATCCAGGACAACCCACCCTCCCTTGAACCAAAAGGAAAAATCAAAGGCAGCAAAAAAGATCAAAAAGCAAGTGTCCAAAACCAGAGCGAGCCACTCGTCCTCCCTCTCGACACCCGATGAGACAAAGACCATGAAGTAAAGGTGTCATGCAGCCCTCAGATTAATCTACACTATGCAGAAATGGTCAGAGTCCTCCTTTCCCCCATAATAGGATGCCCAGGAAACCTCACAATGAATGCTTCAGTCAACAAGATAGCAAGAACTGAGCCTGGCTGGCGGTGCATTGTTTATCGGCTACCTAGGGCTTTGGATTATGAAAAGATGTCTGAAAGAGACTTTGTTATCTCATTGTACTTCTGCAAGTCACCACTCAGTTCCGTGAGCAGCACTGCTCCTCTTAGAATTCCTGACTTTTGATTTGAGGATGTGATTGTTCCTTAGACTGACAATAGTAGGCTTGAAACCCAAGGGTAGAAACCTGGGCCTGTGGTTGCCTGCAAAATGGAGGTGCAGCTGGGGCTCTGACAGGCCCCAGTGAATTCCAGGCAGCCTGCCAGGTGGCATGGCTGTCAGTGATCCATGAGGTCGCCAAGGTATGAATCAACGTTGGCGGCATCCATGGTTGCATCCATAATATAGATGGTTCATGTAGCATGTCACAGGCCAATGAGAAAGTGACTTGTCTTGGAGGTTTTTTCTTTTCTTTTAATCCCAGTAGCAGAGAAAGCAATCATCCAAGAAATGGAGAGTGTGAAACAGAGAGCCCTATCCAGGTGGGATACTCCTGCAGCTCTGAAATGTGGCCGCAGAACAGCTTATATGCTGGCCACCGGGTCCCAAATTATCCAGAAACTCTGATCTCCTTCTTGGCGTAGATATCTAAGCCCATTTCCCTGCTCTGCTTTCTCAGTAACAACTCACAGACGAAGTAAAGATTAGAGCTAGATGAGACCTTAGAGATTATCTTGTCTAATACCCACATTTTACAGATGGAGAAACTGACCAGAGAGGATGTCAATTTCCCAAGGTCACAGAGCACGCCAGGAGAAGACAAGATGGAATTCATCTCTCCTGATTCCCAGTGCTTTCCTTACCACTCCTCACTCAGAAACAAAGGCCCCCAAATATTCTAATTCTGCAAAAGAAACATCTATATAAGAAAATGTAACTGAAAATGAAAAGCTGTTCTAGAATGCTGATGACTACTGACTTGAATATAGAGATAGCTTGACACTAACAAAATCAAGTGCTGTGGGTGAATGAATATGATGATAATAGACAAGTCTACATAATATATTTTTCATGAGCAAATGAGAGGATATGAAATATATATTATGGATGATGGTGTTAACATCACGTTTATTTACTCTGCAGCAATCTGATTCTCTGAGCACTGTCGTTTCTCTACAACCAAAATGGCTATGGTTCTCTGAATCTTGAAGCTGGCCCCAAACTTCCACAAATGCAACTGAGGGTCTGTCCCCCCACTCACTGCCACACACCCCACACCCACACCCATTGAAATATAACTTCAAAAGAGAAGTCTGGGACAGGGGTGGTGGCTCAAGCATGTAATTGCAGCACATTGGGAGGCCAAGGCCAGCAGATCACTTGCGTCCAGGAGTTCAAGACTAGCCTGGGGAACATGGCAAAACCTCGTCTCTAAAAAAAAAAAAAAAAAATACAAAAATTAGCCTGGTATGGTGATGTGAGCTTGTAGTCCCAGCTACTCAGGAGGCTAAAAGGTAGATGGATCACTTGAGCTAGGAGGCACAGGTTGCAGTGAGCTGAGATCATGCCACTGCACCCAAGCATTGGCAACAGAGCAAAACCTGTCTCAAAAAAAAAAAAAAGACAGGCCTGTATTTTTAACAAACTGGTGAAGCAGTGAAGAACCCTGTCCCCCACGCCCCCAAGCCCTGCATTGTGTGCTGTCATCTGATTCTCAGCTGGTTGCCATTTTGCTGTGGTATTCTTCCCAAAGCACCCCCCTCCCTTCCCTGCAATAACCTTATTCACACATTCAAGTCAGCCAGCATTTGTAGACCCCTGCATATAGCACAGCCCAGGGCTGAACACTGGAGAATTCCTCGGGGGTCCCATGTACCCTTCAACTCAGGGAGAAGCAGTGGCCAGCCCCCGTTCTTTCAGCGAAGCCCTGCCTGCGTCCCCCAGGTCTCTGGCAGTGGTGGCAGCAGCTCCCTGCGAGGACGTCCCTCTCTCCACGTCTGGCACTGAGGAAGGCAAAGTTACACTGTCAACAACACTAACAAAGATTAATTTCTGTGTCTGGTGAGAGTTAATTTCTCTGATTAGAGGACTCTCAAAATGTGCAGTGACTAAATCTTGACTGGAAACATTTAAATGGCAGAACGGCCGGGCAAAGAGCCCCAGTCACATACCAGCGACTTAGAGGACCTCCCTGAGATCAGGCAGAATATGAGTAAGACGGGTATGTGGGATAAACCCACGAGGGCAGGCCGCTCTGGCCAGCTAGGTATTTATGCATTTATCCATTTCATTACACTTATTTATTTATTTTTCTTTTCCTTTACAGAGCCTCTTGCAAGAGCTGGTCTGAAACCAGACCAGAAAGTATTCAGAAAGATGGGATGAGAGGTGGGGCTGGCCCATCCACCTGGAGAAACATTAGTCTGATGACAACTGGCAACTAACAGCTAGTTGCCGTGCTGGTCCACCCACCAATCCTCCAAATTTTGCTTTGGGTCATGGAAGAGGAAGAAGATGATGGAAAGTGGAGATGAACCACTTCCAGACTGCTTTCTGACACAGGGCATGTTGCACGCCTGTAGAACAGGTGGAAAAGACTGTCTAGAGACAATGGATGTTCAGAGTGACAGTTCTCATGGGTCAGAGGGAAAACTGGAGGTGGCTGGGGAGAAAGACTGTAAGCCTGGAAGGCAGATTGACGTGGACTGGACCTCTGGCTCTATCATTTACATCTTCGAGGACCTGCAAAAGGCACATACTTATGAGAGGCTCAGTTACATCACCTCGAAAGTGAAAACCATTCCCATCTATTTCAATTTCTCAGCATATAGAACTTGCAAAAGAGCCCGGAAACCAGGGGCCCTCCTTCCCCCATGCCATTCCTTACCTTTGGGACCTAACAAGAAAAAGTTCCTCTGACTTCTCTCTGGGGAGATATGAAAGGCCGTGAAGTCTCCTACTTGCAGAAAATTCAGCAGGTGGGGGACAGAGGAAGGAGCTACTTTTCTTTTTCTCTCACACCATCCTTTCCCTTCACTTCCCAACCCACTCTTTGTCCTACCTGTTGGTCATCCATCTCATAAATGTATATTAAGCACTCACCAAGGGCCTGGAGCTGTCCATAATGTGGTGCTCCATCTCCTTTTAATAGCTGATCCCCCTCCAAACTCGTTTATCAATTTCACTAACATTTATTTGGAGTCTATTTTGTGCCAGGCACCAAGCTAGTCCCCAAGGATAGGGAGACAGGGTTTCTCTCCTATGATGCCCACAGTCTATCGACGAAAAAGAAGCTGGCTTTGGTCAGAGGTAGTTTGCTCCTTGGGGTTGAGGATACGAGTGTCCAGCACTCCCCTCCTGAACTGGGCTAGTCCAGATGTAAAGCTGCAGTCAGCACACTGCTAATGGGGCTTTGAAAGTCTCTGCTTTATTAGGGCAGCCAGGAAAGCCGATTTCAGCTGCAAATGCCTTCATTGCCTCCCCAGCAGAAATGGCTAATACCTGCTTTCTAGGACGTGCTCATCAAAAGGAGACTCTCAAAGCCCCATTAGCAGTGTGCTGACGCTGGCTGTACATCCTCAAAGGGCAAAGTCCAGCCGAGGGAAAGGAATCCAGACTATTTGTCAACACCAGAATGAGTCAGAGCTCCCCACCTCCTCCTTCCCAGCCCACCACCCCCTCTTACTTCCGCCCTCTTACCTGGCCCAAATTACAATTTCTCAGTAGGGGGCTCTGCAGTCCTGTAACCCACACACTCCCCCTCCTTCCTCTGGCTCACCAACTCCTCTTCCTGCCATTCTTAATTTATCCCACGAGCCTGCAGATGCCTAAACAAGCTTAGAAATGTGTGCCTAGGACTTTCCATTCTGCCCTCACCTGAACTCCACCCCTGGAAGCTTCGGCTTTGCCATCACCATTGCCTTAAGTGGTCACCGAGGCTCCTAGAATCTGGGGAAGAGGCCTTACAGGTCAGCTAGCCCAAGTACTACCCCACAAAGGAATTTCTCCCATAGCCCCAACAATATATGGAGATTTGGTCTCCTGGGAGGGAAGATGGTTATTACCATAGAGCCTTGGGAATAGACCACCTGGGGGTCCAGCCCAGCGCACAAGGCTGCAGAACCCTGCTAGTGCACACTAGGCTGAAAGGAAGATGCTGTGAACCCCAAGAATATTATCTCCCCTCAGATTTTCACCAGGCAGCTGCCCCCATACCAGACCTCATATAACCTCATCTCAACTTCAGCAATCATCCAGTCTCATGTTTAAAAGATGCCCAGTACCAAGAAATACTGGCCTCGTCTTCTCCTTGGGGGACCCCCAAGAAGAAAGGACAGGACAGGAAATGAAATTCTCTCAACTTTGTTTACTGTCTCATTATTCAATAGACAAGCAGGGTGAAGTGCACCTCGAAGGAACAGGAGTCATTAGAGAGTCTCGTAACAAAAATAATATTTTGACCACACTGAGAACGTCCTGCTATGCTGTAGGCATGTGTTAGCCTCTGGATATACAAGGTTGAATAACAAACTTGACTTTTTACATTGAGGACTCATTGCTTAGGGGTGAAGACAGACATAAATAAAAATTATATGTGGTCTGACACTTGCTTTCTTAGCCGTCTGAACAAACAGCTCTGTTTTATTCCTGATCGGACTTGTCTTGGCCATTGTTACCACTACTGCTTTCTTGAAATTCTCTAGTTATTTGGTTTCACTTTTTCCTGGGTCATCTTTACTTCTGAGACCACTCCTCAGTTTCCTTCATTGCATTCTCTTCCTCTGCTTGCTCCCTAAATATTGGTATCCCCTAAAGGATCCTTCTTTGCCACTCAATCTGCAGCTTACATTCTCTCTGTAAAATATCTTTTGCTCCTAAATGCAGACAGCTCCCAAATCTATATCTCCTACCTGGACTTTTTCTGAATGACATCTCCAGACCATATATTTTTTGGAAAAATAGTTATTTGATATACCATGTACCAATAATACTCTAGGTGCTTCACAAATATTAACCCTCATTTACTCCTAACAACATAACAACTCCATGGGGCAGTTGCCATTATTATCCTCATCTTAAAATCGGGAAATAGGGGCATAGAGGGGTTACCTAACACAAGATTGAACACTAGGGGTGCATTCTAAAACATGCATGGTCTGCCTCTAGAGGCTACTATGCCACATTACCTCTCCACTTCTACAAATTACAGGCACATGATCCATATTTTGGAAAATATGAACTTGGTTACATTCTCCCCCAGTCTACTCTTTCATCTCTGTAACTCAGTCTTCCACTTTTGTTCATAGCATCCTCATCAACTCAGTCTCAAAGAAAGAAAACATCTGGTACATAAAAAATGTTCAGTGAAGTCTTCTGATTGAGTTGAACTGTTCTAAATGGAATTGAATTAAAGCATGGAACTCAGGATGGGAGCTTCTATTGGAGAACTGGGGAAGACTTTAGAGAAGATGTGACATGTGAGCTGAACAGGATGTAGCACTTTAGATAGAACCTTTCTTTTTAGCATTGTGAGAGGATAAGAGATCAGGCAGTTCAATATTCTCATGTACAAATGGTAAATGTCAGGTAGGTAAGAGGAACCTGGGATGTGAACAAGTCTAGAGCCCAGTGGGGGAGGAGCACTAGCTCCTTACTACTCAAGGCTGGTTTATAAACTGGTGGGATCAGTGATATTGGCAGTACATGGAGGCTTGTTCTCAGGCTCTCCCGTAGACCTGCTGAATCAGAATCTGCATGTTAATAAGATTTCCAGATAATTTTTCTGCATATTAAAGTTTGGGAAGTATTGGTCTAAGGCTGTTTCTATAATGGGTAAGGGGATCAGATCATTTAGCCACACTTCATAGAATCCTAATGATTTAAAATGTTTTCAGAATCCTCTGAAACACCTCTAAATTTTTGGAAATACACCTCTCCCCTCACTTGCACCCCATGGAGATTAAAATAAATACATATGATTGCTTGCGTGCATTCACTACTGTGTAGAAAACGCTTTATCCTAAACAGCTTGAAGGAGACACAGCTATTAATGATGTCGGTAAATGTTCAGCCGCTGATTTTGGTGAGAAGTGGGAAAGAAAGAGGATGGTTTCATCTATGGTGTTAACCCAACTCCAAGCACTTATATTTAATGAGGACACTGAGCCTGCTACAAGTTAGTCACAGGTCCTAGGAAAGGAGTGAAAAAAATTGTTAGAACAAACTTATTTGATTAACATAGTCCAGGCAGGTGTTGGTTAAAATCCTAGAATCTGGAAGTATGGGGATGATCTAGACCTCACAGTACTAATGGGACCCAGATGAAAATTTGAGGTGATAGAAACTTGGCCAGTTCTCTACGTACAAAGGAAGCCAAGATCTTGAGGCTTGGGCTGGCATTGAGAATGGATGCTGTTTAGATGGAAGGCGTAGTAGCCCGGGTAGGGCCAACAATGGAGGGTGGCAAACAAGATCAGGAATCAAGGGAAAGTAGAAAAGCACAGGCTCTGTGTAAGGAAAAAGGAAATAGTTAATTAGAATAAAACTAACTTTAGCCACAGCTGCTGTGGCTGAGGGCCATTTGATGGTTGGACTCAGGATGCAACCATACAGGAAAGAGCTGCTAATGGAAGGGGGAAGTCTTCCTGGCAGCTCTTCGCCCAAAAGTTACTCTTTTCCTGTCTAAATCCATGGAAGACGATAAAACCCCTTCTACAACAGCTGGGAAAGACATTCATAGACATCCACAGACATTTTGTAGAGGGATTTTATTGCAGAAGGCATTCACAGAACAGGTTGACGTTGGAAGAGAATTGTACTTTGTGAAATTCCTTCATTTGCATAAATATGTGTGATAGCAAATAGCCGAAATAGCTAAAGTAGAAGAAACACAGGGAGACATCTGTATACTCTAGAGTGAACAGTTGGAGGCAGACTACAGTTCCGCAGTTGGCCGATCAGCTCTACTGCAAGGAAGTGACGGATCCAAACTACACTGGCAGGATCTGCAGAAGGAGACTTGTGGTCAGTGCTAATCCAGCAGGACAAGAAGAGGGTTCAAAGAACATCAACCAAACTGACTAGGGAGATCTGGCACAGGACCTAACCAGAGTTCTACAGGCCTCCTAGATGCAGCAGTTAACTACAAATAAGTCATATTGTTCATTGCAGGAAGTCAGGTAAGTCTTGGACTAATCCATCTTGTTGATGTCCAGGTAGAGTTTGGAGTCAAGAATCCACTCAAGTATTAACAAGTAGATGGGTATGATCTCAGAGACAGAAGATCAAGGAGGCAGCACCCTTAGAGATGGTGCCTATCTGGCCTGCCCCTTTCCTTCTATTCCTCTCTTGCTCTCATTTCTAGCCTCCTTTCTTTTCCTTTTTTCCTGCCATTTTTTCTCCTTTTTCTTGGCCTTCTTCTGACTCTTCTGGCTATAAAATGAAACAAAGTTTGTATTTTATTACTTATTACAGAGAATTTTGTTTCCTGGTTTGGGTTTAGAAAATACACTACTGGAATAGCTTTCTTTATTTATACATTTAAATAGACCAAATTAACTGGATTTTATGTTTTATGTGCCTACCCACACTGCCTTTGCCCTAAAAGATGGCACTTTCAATGCCAAAATGGCATCCACCCAGGTCTGTTACTAACATAGCATTTGCAAAGGCTGTTTACAGAGAAATAATGTTGTAGATGCCTTCTGAGCTTGCCTAGTAATCCCAGCCCTCCAGAGGGTAACACGAAACCTCTTATCTAACACAATGGACTGGGGACAGAGCCAGGACATAAAGACAGACAGTCATGTAGTGATTTGACTGTGTCCGCTGATTCTGGGAGTATCTCTGTTTGAAGGTCACAGAATTCCTACCTGCTCACCTCTTAAATCATCTGCTTCTGTCTGCAGGTGGTGACAGAGACTCCAGAAAACTAAAATAGTCATCTTTCAAGGTTAACAAGGAGCTGCTTAGAAGCCTCAGCATGACTGCCAATAGCCAATTCACAGGGAGCTGTCACTGCTCCCCTGAGGAAGGGTTTTGGTTAATGAAGAGATGGGGCTGGGGTGGCTGCCTATGGAGAAGAGCCAGCTGTTTGGCTTCCTATGTTGGAACCCTATGCTGAAGGCAAAGGGGGTGGGCTGTTGCTATTACCCCAAGCAGAACAGACCAGAATGGTCCCTGTGGGATGCCTGCAACCAGGGAAAACTTGCTACAATCTGAGGCTCATTCAGTGAAATCCATTGTCCTCTCCTCATGAGAGGGGTTCTCAATTAAATTTCTCCTGAGGTCCTTTTTCTCCCCTAGTGATCTATTTCTTGCAGGGTTTTTTTTAATCTCTCAGATACTGCAAGGTTGACTCAAATAAATACTATAATTCTAGTTTAGGGTCCAATTTATGCAATGCCCTTTACTGAACATAATACTCAGTTTTCTTATTTGTAAAATGAGGGAGTAGGCAAATACAAAAGGGCAGCACAATAACTCAGTCCTGCAAGAATACTGTCAGGATTTCTTTATAAGAGT